GCAACCGGTTATAGCAAAGAAAAAAATTTTGTTTCATCAAGACAACGCACAAGTTAATCTAAACAATGACCGATATGCATGAACTGCACTTTGAATAACTGCCGCATTCACCTTGTTCTCCAGATTTGGCTCCGAGCGACTATTGGTTGTTCGTATACCTCAAAAAAATGTTCGCCGATAAGAAATTTTGCTCGAATGAAATGGTTATCACTGAAACTTAGGCTTATTTTGAGGCAAAAGACAAATCGTTCTACAAAAGAGGTATTGAAATATTACAGCGGCGCTGGAATGATTGCGTTGCTCTTGATTATATTGATGAATAAAGACAATTTTGAACAAAAAAACAACCGCGTTTTCTTTGTTAGGCAAATTGACTTTTTAGCCCAAATGTTAGAGTGTATCAGTTCAACAAGAGTCTTCAGATAGAGTCGCACTATGCCATGGAGACAAAAACTCCGGAATACTTGCGTCTTGTTTCTCAACACTCTATAAAAAATGGCATAACATCTTTGGATTCACAAATAAAAGGGGAACGAAGCTTGCTTCTCTCACTCCAAGTATGACCTTTCAATTTATTAGGTTACTCAGTTTAAATTGGGCTAAATAAGACATTATCAAAAGTGAGGATACAATAAACCAGTACATACTACTAATTAATTATATAATACTTATAGATATCACCTTTACACTCCACTATGCTCTGGGCGTATACTTTATATACTAGCTGACCCGGCAAACGTTGTTTTGCCATATATGTAATTGTTGGGAAATATTTTTAAAAATAGCTGACACTATAAGTTTTTGGGGGGGAATCAATTACAAAGAGGATAGTTGTAAACAATTAAAACATATCTTATATAAGTTAATAAATTTTACTTTAATACAATAACAAATATATTTTTAAGTACAATTGTTTGTTATTTCGACTACTAACTATGGCAATCAAAAATAAATAAAGATGTGACGTGGACTTTTTATGTACGAAGAAGATAGGAGGACAGAGTTACCAATTTGGGCAGTATCAGCGTTGTTCGCAATAGCATCTCGGAGGTAAATATATTCTTGCGCACGCAGCTTCTGTTGGTTATGTCGCAAGTATCGTAGTCGTTCACTTTCTATCTTCACATACATGTCCACCATGACGATTTATTCTTTAATAATAAATTAACTAAGTTCTCAATAACGAAAGAATTACGGATCTCTATCAGTTTGTAGTTTGGGTATTTTTGATTTGAATACTTTCAACAAATAAATGTGCTCATTTAACAGAGCGTCCAGCTCGCCGATGATTCGGCTGGCAAAAGGTGAATTGAGGTTATTGTAATCGGAACGTGCATTCACGCGATTGGTGAGTGCGCGTTCAGAGTCCTCTCCCTCCATAAAATATATTTGTAAAAATTTATGAGATTCGTTTGGCATTGGCAGCAATAAACCCACTTTGTGATAAACTTGGCCTTTGATTTTGAAAGTAGAATTAAATTGTTGACCGTTTGCAGCAATATTTTGAATAATTTCTGTTGCTCCGAACGATATCATTTGGAAACACGAATTGACTTCAGGAACAGGCTAGAATCTGGATTTGTACGGATAAGTAAGTATTTGCACTTTACCTGATGAGTACGACATATGTACGTACATCAGGCTCATACTGGAATGCTAGTCGAAGAAATGATCCTGATGTAGATGTTCGATGTACTTGTTAACATTGAATCTGCGCGCTTCTCTTCGTTGATTTCTTTCATCTCATGCCTCTTGCGATTGTGATTGACGTAACTGCGCCATGCTCACACATGTGATCTTCTATCTTGCATGTTTCTTAATTTGTTTGTTCGACGACTGAAATTGACCCCTTTGCGTCTTGTTGGCAATGTTGACCGTACATTAAAAATATGCATAAATCAATTTGAAATGCCGGGAGTTGGTAATTTCAGCGCCTGCAGCCTTCCTTGAATGTGGTAGCTGTTGCTCAGGTTCCCTCTCCGGCATCGAACCCTGATTTACAGTTTTCTTTTACAACTATGGTAGGCGCAGTATGTACCATCGATTACTTACCTTTTACAATAATAAAACACGTATATTTATAAAACAAAAGCAATCACTAGAGTATAGTATATATATAGAATGTATGTATGTTTCAATTCTAAAACGAGAAAAAAAAAAATGTTTGTCCAAAATAATAAAAAACTGAAATTTCAAAGAAGTTTCACAGCAAACATTGTGACTCGAGAATTTTATCACTCTTTATATGTAACTGTATATCGACTCATCGCACCGAACCACCCACAAGTTTAAATTCGCAAAAGTCAAAGTCGACCGCGACAATTTGTTTTTGATTTCTGATTGCAGTCTGTTGCTTTCGCCGAAATCTTGTTTAGTTATTGACTGGTTGTGGTCGACGACAACCAGCCAACAGCTATGAGAGCAAACAAGTAATACGCTCATTTACATTCATTCGGGTTCAGTCAGAGTGTGCTGAAATGTTTCACTTGCTTTGTGTTGTATTACGGTGCATGTTTTTGTTAGTGTTGTTTCTCACCACTTGAGTATCGCAAATCAATCGAACACTATCAAGACAATTTTCAAGTACAAAATTTGACATTACGAAATGTTTGCAAAGGGCAAAAGCCAATTGATTGATTGATTGATTGATAAGTGGATAGACTGGTGGTTTATCGGAAATTGTGTGGAAATGTTTGGACAAATGTTAAATGTTAAGTACTTCTGTATGGTTTAGTTGATATCACTTGTGAATACCTTAAGGTAAATTTAAGGTGCAAACAAATCAAACAGGATATAGAATTGGAAAAAACCACCTTGGTTATTAATATATCAGATAGGTTGAGAAGTGCGTACAGTCTTAAGAAAATTGTATATCCTGCTCAGGATGTATCAAGTTTGCTACTAACGTAAAATCTTTAGATTATAAAAAACGAAAATTTTAGCACAAAAAAAAACTCAGTTTTAAAGTAAATTTTCGAGTTAAAATATTTATTTCGTAAAAATTTTTGAAAAGTGGTCTAGAAGTTGTGGAGAGTCCCCTTTCTGGCCAGTTAAAAGTTATCAACCTAAAAAAAATGTGTCCAAAAACTTTCTCTTATAATCTACAGATTTTACCCCCAGACTAAGCAAAAAAATAAAAATAAATAAAATTTCGCTCCACCCTAATGTATATGTATAAGTGGCCAGATCGGTTTTTCAACTTGAAGGATTTTAATATCAAACAATGTGCTAGAAAGAACTAGCAAAACGCTTTCCGTTGGATGCAAGCCTTTGGCCGGTCTAGTTTTCAGATTAAGTTATACATATAGCTGCTATAAGAAATGCAACTGTGAAGAGTATTATAGCTCCCATGCAGCCGACGATGTTGACGTACAACATAGTTAACAAGACCACCCAGATTTTAGAGATCTTTTAAAATTCTGCTTCATAATACAAATTGTCTTTTACTTCAAAACAAGCCTTAATATTGACGGTTACTATCCCATTCTCTATTAATTTGGTTTAGACAAGTTATCTCTTGAAGTAACCTGATTTTAAAATATTTAATAATTGAATATAGTTTTTGGCTGAGTGAGAAATAAAGACTTTTAGACATTCAGAAAACTTTGCTATCGCATGAATTTATTAAAACATACTATCGGCTAGAGCTGTAAGCTACTAACTACTCATGGTTTTTTAATTGCGCTCGCTACTCAGTAGGTTTATCGTTAAATCCAGA